GGGATCTTTTGCGTTCAGTTCCTCATCTTTCTCCTCGAGAATCACATCCGCAACTTCAATCAAAGAGAAATTAGCAAACTCACTGGGTCATTGCATAGACTTCTGTACATTGAACATTATTTCTTCATCGTTTACACTCATCTTTAGCTCCCCAGTTTCACAATCAATTAGAGTTCTCCCTATGGCCAAGAATGGTCTTCCCAAAATTATGGGAATCTCTTCATCAACCTGGCAGCCCAGAATGACAAAATCTGTCGGAAACACAAACTTTCTAACCTACACAAGTACATCATCAAGTATACCTGATGGCCTCTTCACCGTTCGATTGGCTAGTTATAGTAACATGGATGTGGGTCTTGCCCTTCCAATCCCTAACCTTTTATAGATAGACAAGGGCATCAAGTTTATGCTCGCCCCCAAATCACACAATGCTTTGGCAAAAGCATAGCTGCCTATGGTGCATGGAATTGTGAAACTCCCTGGGTTGGATAGCTTCTTAGCGATAGGTCTCGTCACGACCGCACTACAAGTCTAAGTCAGTGTCACAGTTGCCAAGTCTTGAAAGTTGAACTTGCTAGACATCAAGTCCTTCATCATTTTTGCATAACGGGGAATCTCCCTCAAGGCATTAATCAGTGGAATGTTCACCTGAATCTGCTTCAACTTCTCCATGAATTTCTTATATTTCTCATCCTTCTGATATTTGGCCAACCTCTGCGGGAAGGGTGCTGGCGGTCGCTTTTTTCCTATAACTTGAGTTAGATCCAACTCGGACACTTTTTCTAATGCCTTCTCTTGCACTTTCTTAGTCTCTTTTGCAAACCTCTTTCTCTTTGTTTAGTGCCTCCTGGGCTGTGCACTCTTACATCTATTAGCTCAGTTGACTCATCTACCTCAATTGGTACTGGAACGAGTATCTCAGTTGGTCATCTTTCGCGAGCAATTTCTTGCTCTAGATCAAGATCTCTACCATTTTTAGACTCACTGCCATCAGTTGCTTCGGGCCCTTCTCTTTTGGATTGACATGTGTGTCCGCAGGTAACGTCCCTTGGGGACAAATATTCTAAGCCACAGATGTTTTCCCTAATTGAACCTCAATGCATTTTATCGCTGAGTCATGTGCTTCAACCTTCTCTTGCATCTTTCCATGGACCCAATCAGTTGTTGTAGCATTCCTTTAATTTCAGATAACTCATCATCTTGTCTCTCTATCTGTTGTTGTTGAGGCTGTTGATAAGCTAGCTGCTGATTTTTTTGATTGTATCACTGTTGCCTTTGGTAAGGCATGACTTGACTCTGTGGTCGCGTAGCTCCAGGATTGTTGTTTTTATTGTACTACTGCTGTGCTGGTCTATACTACTGATTCTGCTGCCCTTAATTCTTACCACCTTGCTTCTAGTCTCCATAGTTTCCACATAGTTCATATTCTCTTGGTAGTTCTGATTGTCACTTTCACCACTCTACGAGCACACATATGGTTGGTTAATGCATGGTGTGCATAAGCCTCCATTTGTTGTGTCAACTATGTGCGCCTGCTTTTGGCCCGACTCATCAATCTTCTTAGTGAGGATACTCATTAGGTCATCAGAGTGGCCATATTCTCATCTATAGAGTTGTTTGGGTCTAGAGCTACCGAGTGAACTACAAGAGTGATTGTAGAGTCCTTTGTCATCCATCCCAACTTTTGTGCCATTTTATCAAGTAAGACCTTACACTCTCTGAATGATTTGCTAAAAAATGCTCCACCTACTGAATCATCAACATTGGACATCAAGTTGTCTGCCAATCCCATGTAGAACCTTTGCCCCAGCATCTGATCAGGAATGCCATGGCTTGGACACTTAACCAACATCTTTTTGAACCTCTCCCATGTTTCTTGCAGTGTTTCAGCTAGTTTCTGCCTGAAGCTCAATATCTCGTCAACATGCTTAGCAGTCTTATTTGGTGGGTAGAACTTGTTCGAAAACTGCTTGACTAATTCCTCCCAAATAGTAATTGAGTTTATGGGGAGCGAATTAAGCCAAGTCTGAGCCTCTCTAGTCACCGAGAACGGAAACAATAACAGTCTGATTGCTTCCGGTGTCACATTCGGCTTCCTTTGAGTGACACAAATTGACTGAATTTTTTTCAAGTGGAGCTGTGGATCTCCAATGTAAGACCCAGATAACAGTTCCGTGTTCTGCAAACAGATGTAGCATGTTGTTTGTGATTTGAAATGATTCCTCTTGTATATGAGGGCTATAATTGCGGTTGACAGATTTTCAGCATTGGGTTGTGCCCAATCATACAAGGCTGCTTCTGGCACAAGAGGTGACACACCCTGATTGTTCGGGGCATTCCCATTGTTTCGATTGTTCTGATTGTCCCACACTACTAGAAATTCGGCAAAAACCGACCAAGAAAAACCAACCAACTTTGGTCGGTAAAGAAAATGGCCAAACACCGTCCAAAGTTAGTCGGTTTTTCAAAATATTTTAATTTTTAATTTTTTTTTTACGAAACCGACCAACTTTCGTTGGTTTTCTTTGGCGCAAAAAAGCGGGAAACTATTTTTGAGTCCCGCATATTTTTTTTCAAGAAACCGACCAACTTTGGTCGGTTTTTGCAATTAAAATAAATAAAAATTAATATTAAAAAAACCGACCAACTTTGGTTGATAAATTCAGCCGGTCATTTTAAAAAAACCGACCAACTTTGGTCGGTGATTTTATTTTTAATAAAACCGACCAACTTTGGTCGGTTATTTTCGTGCGAAAATACAATTAAAGAGTATAAATAAAAAAATAAGACAATCTTAAAACAAAATGCATCAATGGTCTAGTGGTAGAATAGTATCCTGCCACAGTGCACACCCCGGTTCGATTCCCGGACGGTGAATCTTTTGATTACATAATTAAAATACCGACCAACTTTGGTCGATTTTTTTTTGCAATATTTTTTTTAATTTAATTTACCGACCAACGTTGGTCGGTAATTTCTGACCAACTTTGGTCGGTATACTAAAGCGACCACCAAAATACCGTCCAAGCGTATTTGGTCGCATTTTGGTCGGTAATTGGCCATAACCGATCAAAGTTGGTCGCCTTTTTTGGTCGCTAATTACCGGATTTCTAGTAGTGCCAACGTCACCCATGTCTAATTCAATTTGTTCTCTTAGGTGTTGTTGTTGTTGTTGTTTGTCTTTCCTGTTTACACGATTTAATGCCTTGAACACTTTCTCAGGATCGGATAATGCTTCAAATGATTCACTAGTTCTCGAGGAGTTTCTAGGTATGCACCTGTAACACACAAGACTACAAACGCTAGAATTTCAATATAATAAAATTAAAATCAAGAGAACAAAACTAAGAATCCTAGAAATTCTGCTCGTTGTAATTAATAACACCGTTAACTCCCCGACAACGACGTTAAAATTTGATCACGCCAAACTATGCCTCCTAAGAGGTCTAGCAGTCGTTGCAAATATAATTCGATTTACAAGTTCGGAGTCGAATCCCTTAGGGAATTAACCTACTAATCACAATCACTAGTTCCGCAAGAATTCAAGTAATCAACCTTCAGAAATATTAAATAACGATTTGAGTGTTCACTAACTAAGAGAAGAGTAATTAAAATGCAGTAATTTATAACTAATAGAGCAAATGTTGTAGATACGATTGGAAGAGTCTAGGTTATGATTTCCTCTGTTGTAGGAATCCTCATCGCTACGTTTCCTATAAATTCTCCCAAGTATTCTCTACCAATCATGAGTACTTTGGGTGTCGTAATTCTCTTCCGAGCAGCTACCACAATTTACTAGACGTATTCTTTCGAACAACGCTAACTGACACCAGTTTACCGCTCACTATGATCGCACCAAGGTTTCGTTATTCCTATCCCACCTTTAAACCTTTCGTATTGATTCCTCATATACGTTAGGAATCATGTGGTTCAACAACTACCTAAATGTGTACCCTTTTCCAAGCAATACACACTAAATAGGCACAGTCAATTGAGAGTTCTTCAATCAACCACAATGAAAACGTAGTTGAACAAGTAGAGAAAGATCATAGGCAAATTTATATTAAACTTAGTAGAAAATCATCCTCCAAATATAGGTTCCATCAAACCCTAGATTGAAGAGTTTAGCTACTCATAATTGTATAAGCAATCATAGTTATATTAAAAAGCATTAAGCTACAAATTCATGAAGAACCGAGAGAAAAACTCTTGTGATTCGTGCTCCAGGGTATTCCAAAGTCTTTTGCCTCTTCAATAATGTCTAACCCTCCAAAAACTAACTTTAAAATGTATTTATATGGTGGGGCTGAGGTCTACATGTCCAAACATAATAAGGAAATAAACGTGACTAGGATAAGCATCATTGGCGCGAGGCATTGTCAGAGGCGCCAACATTACTCCGCGAGGTGCCATCAAAGGCGCCAACATTACCTCGCGAGACGCTATCAGAGGCGTCACTGGACAAAGCCTTGCACTGCATAGGACTATGACTTTTCATTGGTTTACACGTCTTCTTTTATTGCACAATTTTGTAGCTTCGAGGTACCATTTCGTGCAACTTTTCCCCACTTCATGTTCAAGCATTCATACACGTAAAATAAACTCCATTAAGCTCAATTGTCGCACAAATTAGCATCCAAACAACAAACAAGTAGGGTAAATACGTCAAAACATATGAAATTATAGCACGACATAATTTATGTTAATCATTTGTCTTTTCTGTGTTTTTTCTTTTTAAATTTTAGTTTTGTTATATTCCTTGTTCAAGATATATTCTCCTCCATTTAAGATTCTTTCTCCCTTGTTTGCAGTACAACAGGTTATCGAGTTGCTTATAATTATATACGTAATACTTATATATACTAACTTAATTCCTTTACTATAATGAACTTTTTTGGTTTTAATTAATTTTCACTCAATTAAGAAGATATACTTTCGTTGTCATTCTATAGTGCTAACGTCCTTTATTATTTACGACCTTTTGGCATTTTACTCAATTATTACAGGAATAGAGCGAGTACTATCCATTAAACAAATCCAAAGTGAGGACAAGAAATACTGTTTTTAAACTGAAAGGCGACACTTTACACGCCATAGACACATAATCCGAATGGCCTCCTTGGTCCACCTCTAAGCAAAGTGGAATAGTTTGCTGTTTCTATTCACTCCAAACTTAACAATTGAGTTCTTAGCTCATATCTTAACTAACTAATAGCTGCTCGCCAACTGGAAATTGTTCCATTTGGCACCCAACTTGCATTACATTTGATCGGCTCTGCACTTCTAATTCAGCTTGCTTAGCCGCTACAGTTTTTCTCCTCCGCTTCGGCAAGCTATTTTCCGAAGCCGATGATATAGACGAGCTAGCCGGTTCAGGTGATCGTCTCTTAACGGTCAGCCTAACCGGTTCAGGCTCATTTAAGCCGATCCTATGCGGAAAATTCAATAGAGCCTTGGAGCCGCGCATCCTGTAAGCTGCTTTATCATAAGCGAGCGCAGCTTCTTCAGCCGTCTCATAAGTCCCTAGCCAAACCCGTGCGCCATTTTTAGCTGGCTCCCTTATTTCCGCCGCAAATTTCCCCCACGGCCTTTGCCTGACACCCCTATAATGCCTTCCCTTGGGCACGACGGCTTGAGCCGTTGTAGTCTCCGCAGATGGAGCCACTGAGGTAACAGGACCCGTAGCTGGCTCAACCTCCTCCCTCGGCTCGGCTTTTATTTCGGTGGACGTTAAATTATACGGCGTCCATCCGGTAGTTAAAGCGTCACTTAAGAACCCATAAATTACCATATCTTCGGAATCATCAACTTTTAACGGCAAGTCACCCCATGTATCCGTTAAACATGGCATGAGACTACTGAAACTTGAAGTCCGGTGATATACTGGGAATTCTGTAGAAATGGGTTGATACATTTTGTTTGTTATAATTGGATTTTTTGAGTGTTGTGTTAGTGAAGAGGAAAAGGGTCGATCTGAATTCTGAAAAAGAAGAAGGGACTGGGGTATATATAGTGAAAAAGAGAGACAACAGTGGAGCAAGAAGATACATGCACCTGAAAAAAGGAGTTCATTAAACTTTAAATGTTTGAATTAATTAAGGAATAGTATTTGTGCTTCTTTGAAGTTTCTCACTGGGCAAGTGGACTAGTTGTTTAAGCCTTTTTTTCCAAGTTCCTTTATCACGTGCCCAATATAAGAAAACGACTTTCATTCATTGACGGGAGCCATTTACCATAACTTTATTACCCCAAATTTTTGTCTTTTTCTTAATTTTTAAGGAGTACATAAGACTTATTGAGGGTCAATCAGAAACATGCTCTCTTCCTTCGTAAGGTAGGAATAAGGTTTGCGTACACAATATCCTTCACAGACCTTACGTGTAGAATTTCATTGGGTTTATCGTTGTTGTTGTTGTATAAGTCGGATTAGTTGGATTTTATTTACCAAGCCAAGTCAATTGTAAATCTATAAATCAAGCCAATAGAAGTTAATTTTTTACGGTGTGTTATAAAATAAAGACTGTAAAGTAAATAAATTGAAGACAAGTATAGAGAGAGAGATTGATATATTATTCAACTTCAAACTGATGTACGTAATGAACTGAAACTCCTCTATTTATAGAAGAAAGGAAGCTGCTACGGGGCTTTTCAGGAAGCAGCTGCGAGGCTTTTCTTGAGTTGTTTGTTAGCTGTCTTCATGAGTTGCTCGCGACCTGCCTGTTTAATAAGAAGCTGCTGCAAGTCATTTCATTAAGTTGCTTGCAACCTGTCCGCATCAGTTGCTTTCAGATAAACTTAAATGGAGTACTAAATAGATAATCTTCTTCAGGACGATTATCTACAATGGAGTAATAAAGGAACATCCATAATGATATTTTCATAATACTCCCCCTTGGATGTTCATTATTAAGTGCCTCGCTAAAACCTTACTAGGAAAAACCCATGGGAAAAAATCCTAGTCAAGGAAAAAGAGTACACTAATAATATACATTGCAATCTACCTAATTAAAAATCTTACCAGAAAAAAGTGTACAGTGCATACTTTACTCCCCCTATAAAGACGTCATTTCAAATACCCAAGCCTCCGCATTCTAATCTTGCATAGCATCTTCTCGAAGGTTGCAATTGGCAAAGACTTGGTGAACAAATCCGCCTGATTTTCACTTGAACGAATTTGTTGCACATCAATATCACCATTTTTCTGAAGATCATGTGTGTAAAATAATTTTAGTGAAATGTGCTTGGTTCTATCCCCTTTTGTAAATCCTCCCTTCAATTGGGCTATACATGCAGCATTGCCTTCGTATAAAATTGTGGGTCTTCTATCACATTCCAAACCACATATTTCTCGAATGAAATGAATGACTGATCTCAACCATACGCATTCCCTACTTGCTTCATGAATAGCTATTATTTCAGCATGAATCGAAGAAGTAGCAATAACAGATTGCTTTGTGGAGCTCCATGATATGTCAATACCTCCACATGTAAAAACGTAGCCGGTTTTAGATCGATCTTTATGGGAATAAGATAAATAACTTGCATCTGCATAACCAACAAGATATGCACTACCTTTATTAGCATAAAACAAACCCATATCAAGAGTTCCCTTTAAATATCACAATATATGCTTAACCCCGTTCCAAAGTCTCTGTGTAGGAGAAGAGCTATATCTTACTAGTAAATTAAAAGAAATTTCTATGTCAGGCCTTATAGTATTAGCATTTTAAATCCTTCAGGAATCTTCATATAAATTTGATCAAATGAGTCATATAAATTATGACATGCATTTAAATAGCATGACATCTTCAGAAGTGTGGACTACATGTCCGATCCTCATAATCTTTTATAACATTATGCATTATATTGTATCAAATATATCGTCGACGATGATTTTGTATCGGTTTGCAAGAGACATAACTTGTTGAGATCTCATCACTTTCTTTATTTTCAGGTACCTGAACTTTTCTGGAGTTTCATGAAATATTATGTCGTGGGCTCTTCTAGATCTCATTTCCTCCTTATTATGATCATTTTCTCCTATCCTTTTTCAATGATTGTTACCTTTGAAACCGAATGGTATACCACGCTTCATGCGTGCAGTAAACTCTATCCTTCAGGGACCTTAATTTTAATAGGAGTATTAGCAACTGAAATATGATATTTAATTTGGATCAACAAATGCTTCAGGCATTGGACTTGAATTATCTTCTGAATGAGGATCATACTAATGATAATTCAATTCATATAACATATTTTTCAGCTGCTTATTTAATCCCCTTAATGTTAGAAAAACTAGCATATATCCCCAATCTTCTTTGAGGAACCTATCTTTGTGCGTTGTAGATAGTAAAAATATTTGATTTCTGACCCGAAATCAATTGTGAGGGGAGGACTTATCGACCTTGTTCGTCTGATGCATACAAGTGCTGCTGTATGCAATATAGAAAATCTTAGACCAACATAGAAAACTTTGTTCTATAATCCATAGTTCAGTCATTAATAGGACAACTTGGATATAAACCAGCATTATCAAGATGAACTGTCTTGATTACATTGTCCAAAAATTATGCTCTTAATTGAGAAAAAACAATTTTAAATGGTAAACTACAGGTTGACAATAATCACACATGTAACTATCTCATATATACATCTATAAGTGGTTCACATGATAGGTGAATGTGCCCATATTCACCTTTTATATATTTCAGAATCAAGCGTCTTAGTCCCAACTTTAGCTGGTATAATCAATTTATTATGAGAACAAGCAACACAAGAGAATTCTTGAAGAATCTTCTAGTTTTCAATATATGCTTATCAGAATTCTCAATTAGCTCATCATATTTAAATTAGATGGAAAATAAAAACTTCCAGTTTGTATGGCATGTGCTATCTTTTAGTAAACTTCTTGTTTACTATGGCATAAAATTTAGTAATTAGCAAACTTCTGATTTACTGTGACTACTTTTGTATCGGTAAATTTCTGATTTACTGTAGCTACTTTTACCTCAATAAAAATTTCCGATATGCTGTGACTACTTTTGTATCAGTAAAATTCTAGTTTACTGTGATATGTGATGTAGTACAAATTGAAGAATAAGGCGGATAACTTCTCACATTCATATTCACCCCCTATGATTGTGGAAACATGAAGATTTTTAATTTTTCAATCATTTGTAGTCTCAGTATGATTGTCATTTGTATTAGTAAACTTCTGGTTTATCATAACATATGTTTTGACCACAATAATGACAAATAAGCTCTTCGGGAGCTTTCAACTTACTGTCCACAATCAAATATTATTTAGACACCACTTGTGTCATGTGTCTTCTAGAAAAACAGTTAGCTCTTCAGGAGCTTTTGATAAATTTTGTACTACCAAATATTGCTCAGGCACTTCGGGTATCATGAGAGAAAATCATATCAAATGAACAATACAAAGACATTCTAAATTTATAAATGACGAAAATTAAATTTTTAAATATTTTCGCCACTAACTTTGTGACAAATATCTCCTTCAAGGAGAAATACCATTAAAATCCGAATTTTTTTTATCAATGCGGCAACCGCATAGTCATTGCGTCTTTTAAGGAAAGATACACGAGTTGTTATTTCCTTCGGAGAACTCAATAACTAACCATAATATATTAATGCAGTTGTAGTAGAGATCATTCAACAAGAATGCTTTTGCCTTAGAATGATACTTAATAAAATTATCCAAGATGTTTTACGTACAATAGGTATGTGCGGTAATGATCTTTATGCCACAAAATAATATTTATATCCTCTATTATTCTACTTCTTCAGGAGGTGAGTTGTGGTATTTCTTCATTCACTCCAGGGAATGAAAATGTGCTTCAAAAATAACTTTGAATAGCTCATTATTTTGTTTAAGTGTAGAAAGACACTATTTTATAATATTTTCTGCTTCAGGAGAAAATTTCAATTGTTTTACTACTTCATGAGCAAATTTAAAATACGAAATATTGAGTATATATCCTCTCAATCATATTTCCTCTTCTAAAGGTGAATCGTAATATATTTACATTGAGCGCGTTTCATATTTACAAGCTTTATTAATATTGTCACATTCACTTTAGGAAATGGATTAATATTATCAAAAGTTCTCTTCCTTCAGGAGATGGAACATAAGCAATAACCACATTAAATTGTGATGGTGTCTAACCTCTTTTAATATATTTGCTACTTCAGGAGCAAATCGAGGTGTATATGTAATATAGAGAAATTTCCTCTAACTTATCTTCACTGTAACCATTAGCAAGCCTAAATTATCACTTCTGGTGGTCATAGGTATATACCACTTCTGGTGGTTAACAAAATTTAGTTCCAATGAGATATAAGAAACATAACCACTTCTGGTGATTGTATATTTCTTGCAAACTCTGTTGGAGTTTAAGTGGATCTAACAATGTTATCCACTTTGTAATTCTTTATTATGATAATTAGGATGAAAACAAATACCAAAATAGGTACTGGACACGTAGTACATAACCAAGCAAGTGATGATAAAGATATTAAACAAAATATAAGCAAAAGGCTCAAATTACTTTACAAAAATTTGGCCACTCCAGACGTAAGCGGTATGTATATCACTACTGTCAAGAAGAAAAGCTCACTATCTCAAGGATATATCTGCCTTATGATGCTCGGAATGAACAAGATCTAACCACGGATGTAAGTGCCTCGCCTTAAATCGGAGATGAAACTGTAATAGAAATTAAATTTGAAGTAAGTGCTCAAAATGGCAGAGTCTCGTGCCGATAACGTGTTGTAAAATAAAGATTTTACAGTAAATAAACTGAAGACAAGTATTGAGAGAGAGATTGATATATTATTCAACTTCAAACTGATGTGCGTAATGAACTGAAATCTCCTCTATTTATAGAAGAAAGGAAGCAGCTGCGAGGCTTTTCAGGAAGCAGCTGCAAGGCTTTTCTGGAAGCAGCTGCAAGCTGTCTGCATGAGCTGCTTGTAAGTTGTCTGCATGAGCTGCTTGCGACCTGGC